AAGTTTGGGGTACAGATGTCATAAGAGGGCTGGGGAGATGGCTCAGTAGAATAAGTGTTTCCCTGGCAAGCTCAAGGGCCTGAGTTCAATCCCTGGTTCTGCCAAAACAGATGTTATAAGACTTGGGTCACAGGGGTGAGGAGTTGGGAGGGGTAGGCGCATACAAAACAGGAACTCGGCGAGGTTAGAAGGGCAACAAAATGGAGTCAATTTTGACAGGGTATAACACTAAGGAATCAGTAGATCTGGGACTTGAACCTGGATAACCACCCACCAAAGGCTTGTGAGAACAATAGTTGGAGCTGGTTCAGCAAATGGACTACGGGAGCCAAGTGTGGCAATCCCCATAATCCCAGCACTCCTGAGACTGAGGCAGGAGGCAAAAACAGCCTGGGCTACAAAGTGAGTTCAAGGCTAGCCTGAACTGCATAGTGAGACCCTGTCTCAAAAAAATAAAGACTCCCCATTAAAAAAATGGATTATGGGGAACACACCAGATGGAGAAGAGTATATGCAAAGGCCTCCGCGTCACTGGCTAGTGTGGATCCTGGCTTTCAGCAACAATGAAAGATAAAACAAAAGCACAAAATGTACAGGGGAAAAGGTTTGACTGGAAAGTTTCAAGAGCCATGGAAAAGGGCTCCAGCTTAGGGAGCTGCAGGGGGTACCCCTAAAGGTGGGAGGCCAGTTCTCATGGATCAACTGTGGGCTGGTTGAGCCTTATTTCAGTCCCGGAGCCCCAGTGTCTGAATCTTAATGACACAGGGACAGTTTCATTTCAAGCTGATCAAAGGTTTAAGACAATGGCTGGAGCCTGTCAGGCATAGTCGGGTTCCCTGGTGTCTTCAGTCTTGAAGGGGTGAAATTATGTAAATTCAGGGCAAATCTGTTTTGTTCTGCCCATTTTTAGACAGGTACTTCCTGATTCACATATGTAAGAGATACAAATATGTTTAATTGGCCCATATTTTATTAAACACTCCATAAGGAGCATTTGCTAGGTCAAACAGCAGACAGGGACATGCAGGCTGTAAAGACTCATGCCAGAGATAAGGTCCTAGGGTAAGAGATAAATGCTAAACAAGTCTTCCTGAATTATGGTCCTGACAAGCCAAAAGGCCATACATAACTACAAAAAGAAATTCAGAGAGTGGAAGGGGCAGAAAGGAAAAGAGAGAGAAGAAAGAAGTGGAGGTCAAGATAGATTGCGCAGGACAGACTGTGAATCCCAATCCCAGGCCATAGAGATGGAGGAGGCATCTTTTGAGTCAGGATTAACGCACACAGTGCTCCACTCTGGTGTCCCTGTCCTGTGTACACCTGCACCACTCCTGCAAGAGGATGGATGAAAGCCTGGCCTTCAGCGCCTCTGAGTGCAGTATTTTGGTGGCTCTACATGTTAACTCACTTCTTAAAATATATCTCTACAGGGGCTGGTGAGATGGCTCAGTGGTCTAAAGCACCTACTTAGAACAAGCTTAGCAAAGCACAGGGACGTTCTGTCTAAAAATGGGCAATCCCCCAGCACCACATGCCAGCCAGCCCCGCCCCCAGGTGGGCTGAGCTGGCCCCCCACACACATACACAAATAAAAATTTACAAAAATAAAATAAAATAACTTAAAAAAATATATCTCTACATAGGGCTGGGAAGTGGCCTGACCCAAGTTTTAAGTGAACTTTGTTCTACTTTAGTGACCTATCGGGCAACTGTAGGCCCAGGTGAAGAGTTAGGTCTGTAGCAATTTTTAAAAAGGGCTTTGAAATCCCTAGCTGTCCAGTTTTGAATGGGCAGCTTCTTTGTTTATTTATTTAGTCTTTTTTGGAGATAGGGTCTTACTACGCAGTTTAGGCTGGTCTTGAGCTTACTTTGCAGCCCAGGCTGGTCTCAGACTTGCAATGCCTGCCTCAGCTTCCTGAGTGCTGGGATTAAAGATGTGAACCACTATGCCCAGGTTAATGAGCAGCTAGCTTGTAGGGGTCCAGGATCCTGCCCCTCTCACCATCCTGTAGTGATGGATCCCCATTAGTGTTCTTGTACAAATAGAACGGACTGTGTTTACCAACTTCCAGGAGTAGCTCTGTTTATTCCATAGGTGTCTTTATGTACTCTGCTTTAAGATTATAAGGGTGTTTTTGTTGTTGTTGTTTTTGAGACAGGGTCTTCCTACATAGTTCAGGCTGGCCTTGAACTCACTATGTGGCCCAGACTGGACTTGAAATCATTGCAATCCTGCCTTAGCCTCCCAAGTGTTGGGGTTATAAGGCATGCTCACTGCCCCGCCCAACTCAGATTGTTAGGTTTTCCTAACCCTTCGTGATAGTCTAAACTTTCCATGCTTGTGGGGATCCATCTTTGCTTTTCAAGTAGCCCCCAGCACTCTGTCTCCAGTTAATGATTAACTTTCTGCCTAATGTTACCATCGTGTCTCTGGAGTGGAGGAGAGCTTAGCACACAGGAGGGAATTAAAGAGCTAAATTGATAATGCTAGAGAAGTGGGTCAAGGCAAACCAGGGCAGTCTGGGTAGGGGTAGCACTGAAATGTGAGTCTTTATCCTATGAACAATGGGAAACTATGGCAGGATCATTCTATTCTTTTTTTTTTTTTTTTCCGGTACTGGGAATTGAACTCAGGACTCTGCACTTGCTAGGCAAACACTTATTCTACTGAGCTATCTCCCCTGCCCAGACAGAAATCTGGATGTCACTTTTTTTTTTTTTTTGTGGAACCAGGGATTGAACTCAGGCCCTTGCACTTGCCAGGGAAGCCCTTATTCTACTGAGCTACCTCCCCAGGGGAAGGATCATTCTAGAACCACCTGAAGGAAATTCAGAGACCTCCATTGTTACCTTTACACACAAGGAATTTGTTTATTTATTTCACACACAAGGAATATAAAATTTTATTTTCCTCTCCCAAATACTACACCCTGGCTAGAAGATAACTCAGATCTTAATGGTAAAAGGTCTGTGGGAGTGTACGCCTTCCACGTGAACAGTTTAAAACAGCTGGATGTTTTTGAAGAATGTGGCACAGCTGAGCGTAGCTGGGCTCTCCAGAGGTAACAGGAAAGTTCAAAATTTCAGTTCAGCCTATTACTTGCAAGCCTAGTATTTAGGTATCCTGAAAGGGAAAAATTCTAGCTGAGCATTAAACGTCAATTAAAGTTGGGCAATTTTTCTAGTACTGAAGACTGAAACTCGGGTCTTCACGATGAGCTACATCTACAGCCCGCGCCCCCTTTTAAGATTATAAGTAATGATTTCTACAAAAATTACATTGAATGCTTGGGATATGTTCCAAACAAGTTATCTGAGGCTGAGTGTGGTGGCACATGTCTGTAATCCCAGCAGTCAGGAGACTAGGGGAGGAGGATCGTTGGAAGTTCGAGACCAGCCTGGGCTACAAAGTGAGCTCGTGGCTAACCTGAACATGGCAAGACCCTGTCTCAAAAAAACAAAATACAGGTGGCCTATCCTGTGCGGCGCTTATTGCCTAGAAAGGAGTAAAAGAAGGAGCGCCTGCCTCTATGCCCAGTGTTCGCGCATCTGTTTAGCCGTGAATGCACACCATGTGCCTGGTCCGGATCAGTAAAGTGTGTATCCAAGACCTGGCTGTGCCTTGTGCGCCTGCGCAGATTCCTCACCGCTCTGAACCGATAACCGAAATGCCAAGCCCAAGACCTATATGCTCCGCAGTTGAGGCGTAGCTGTCGGATGTAGGCACCCACCCGTGATACTCAGAGAAAACAAGCCCGGGAAGTAACCCCACACCTTTCTTTCCCTATTAGCGCTCACAAGCAGCATCAAGGGTAGCAGGCCCTGCATCCCGGCCACCTGGGAAGCGCCCTCTCCCTTAGCCACACCCCCAGACTACCAGGCCGCCTCTCGTTGGCTGAAAAAGGGTTTAGTCCTTGCCCCCTTGAACTGACGCCAGTAGCCACGTATTACGTTTTACGTATCCTGGGCCTGAAAGCGGAAGTTACGCGAGACTAGGAGGGCTGCGGGACTCTGGGAGTGTATATAAACCGCTGAAGGGACCGAGGTGGGCAGACGGCGTTGGAAGGCGACGGGGGTGGTCCTGTTGGGCGGGGTTCCAGCGCGCTGCCCAGGCAGTTTACGCGGCGTAGCTGGGCGCCTCAGCGGGGCGCCCCCGCACACATTTCCGAGTGCTTGGCCGGGTCAGTCCCCCTCCAGCCGAACATGGACTTCAGGGAAATTCTCATGATAGCTTCTAAAGGACAAGGTGTCAACAATGTGCCGGTAAGTAGGGCTTCCCGTCTTCAAGTTCGGGAAATAGGGCCCGTGGACTTGGACGACTTATTTCCTTCGCTTGGGTTTGGGCTCCTGGGAATTTGAGGCTTGGGACAGGAAGCGAGAGCCTTCTTGTGGGAGGGTTTCGCAAACGTGGTTAGCCCAGCAACCGCGACTTTGTGGCTTGAGAGTTGGGGGGAAAACAGCTGAGTGAGCCCCGCCTGGCGCATGGTGCAGTCTTGCGCCAGTAGTTTCTGGCTTTCGCTCTAAACTTGAGTCCGCAGGTTGGGGAGGAAGACTGTGTAGGGGAGTTCAGAGGTTCTGGGAACTTGATCGAATAAACCTTCTGGCGGGTTTATCGCCGATCTTCGGGTTTTGAGCGAGCTTTCCGATTCTGGCCCCACCCACTGAGCCGATGAGTTGGTTACTTTATCAACTTGCCAAGCAGGGAGTCTCATCTTTTTCGTTGGGAAGAGAAACTGGGTGGATTGTACGATTCTTTGGCCAACAGAACGATGACCTTCTGTTGGGCTGGGGATGTAGCTCTGCGGTAGACTTGTCTAGCATGCTTCAGGCTTTGGTTTGATCTCCAGTATACAAAAAATAAAAAAAAGTTTCAGTTTCCGTTTTTCTTGTAACATTCCAGATTTTAATCTTTCTTTGAAATCTAGGTCTAATTTGCTCAGTGTTTGCCAATTCACTGATACTCTTTATGCTTTTGTTTTGTTCTTTTATTTTTTGATACAGTGTCTCACTGTATAGTTCAGGCTGGCATTGAATTACCATGTAGTCCAGGTTTGAACTCAGGGCGATCCTCCTGCCTCAGCTTCCCGAGCGCTGGGATTACAGGCGTAAGTGTGGTACGTCTGGCTCACTGATATTCTTAGAGTGGTGTTAGGTTTAAAAGCTGAATGTTAACGTGCTAAACTAAATGCTAGAGAGTGCCTTGTTGTGGGTTGTAACGATTTGCATACACTAATCATTTCAGGATCCTCAGATGGTACCTATAGCACAGCTGCGTATGGATTAACTGTACTGTGATACCTGCGGTTTGAAATCTGAGGTGTGGAACCCCAGGGCATCTTGAAGTCAGTCCAGCTGGAGTTTCTTGCTCTATGAACTCTGCATTTTCTAGATTTTTTCATATTGCAATGTGAAGTTTTTTCTCCTGCCATTTTTGTCCAGTCGTTTGCCTTTGTGTGTGTGTGTTGGGGGGGTGCGTGTCATGTCTGCATTACATAACGATTACATTTCTCCTGGGAAGTTGGTACGTGTTTTCTGTGTGTGGTTTTTTCTTTGTTCGTTTTTTCAGAATGGGGGATTGAACTCAGGCGCATTCTACTGAGCTATCTCCCTGGCCCCAAGGTGGTTCATGTTAAGGTACATGCACGGGACACAACTCCCTTGTTAATCTGCTTTGCCTCCCCTCCCTCCTCCTTTTTTCCCTATTTGAAATGTTGGTCTGGATATAAAGTTCTATATCCATTTATTTTATAGAAGCAAATATATGTATAAATTATATACAGAATATATATAGTCATCCCTATTCTGAGTGTCAGGATAATCATTCTCCAAGCATGGTGAAGCTATAAGTCCAAAATATTGAAACTTTAATCAGGCGTGTTTATTTTGGAATATACATTGTCTCTAATTGCAATATAGGACATGAAAATAAGGATAAATGGTAGAAGTAATTTAAATTTAGCAAGAATATTTCTGTTCTTTTACTTTTGAGACAGAGTCACCATACAGTTTAGGTTGACCTTCAACTCATTTTGCAGCCCTGGCTGGCCTCAAACTCAGTAATCCTCCTGCCTCAGCCTCTGGAGTGCTGGGATTACAGGCATGTGCCACCACACCCACCCGGCTAACTTGATTCATCTTTTTTGTTTACTTTTTTTTTTATGGTGGAACTGGGGATTGAACTCAGGCCCTTATGCTTGCCAAGGAAGCGCTTATTCCACTGAGCCATCTCCCTGGCCCCTACTTTTTTTTTTTTTATTAGCTCAGCAACACAGAATACTGACATATGCCCATGTGCCCACACCTCATATTTACCATACATTAACAACAGCTTTTTGTTTTGTTTTGTTTTACAGTGTTGAGGATGGATCCCAGGGCCTCAAGTGCCAGCTAAGTGCTCTGTCATGTAGCTTTATCCTCAGGCCTCCTTATTTCTGAAAGAAATAAGCAGTGCGATTGAAGCCTCCCAACTTGCACACTTTAAAAAATAGGAGAATTTCTATCCAAGTATCTTTATAAACCACCGTCCAAGCCAATAAGCATGTCAAGGGGCTGGGGAGATATCTTGGTGGTCTAAGCACCTGCCTGGCAAGCACAAGGACCTGGGTTCGATCCTCAGCACCACATGCCATGTACCAAATAAGTAAAGACTTTTTTTTTTTTTTAAAAAAAAAAGCATGTCAAGATAGACACACAGGCAATACTCCCCATGCTGACAACATGTTTGACCTAAATTTGATTGGTGGTGTAGAAACCACAGAGACTTTGCAGTAACTGAAAATAATGCTATATCCTTTTCTAGTACTTGGTTCTTTTTCTCCTTTTAGCCATTTCATTGGGATTCTACTAGAGTTAACACTGAGATTTTATTCAGAGTTTCTTAGGTCAGAATTGTACTACAGAAAGGAAATCCTATGATTAGTGATGATTTAACTAAAGTGCAACAGTAAAAACTAAAACACATGTGGGACCACCTTGGACTCCTTGCAGAGCTTTAATTTTAGGAGGTATTTATTGCCTCTAACTTGAGATACAGGTTGATTAATCCCTTGTCTGAAATCCTTGGGACCAGAAGTGTTGGATTTCAGAATTTTTCATGTTGCATAATAATTGCATGAATTATTGGGCCGGGGAGATAGCTCAGCAGCATAAGCGCCTGCCTGGCAAGCCCAAGGTCCTGAGTTCAATCCCTGGTACCACAAAAAAAAAGAGAGAGAGATGTTATAAAGGTGGGAGTCATCTAAACACTAAATCCATTCATATTTTACATATAACATATGAAGGTAATTTTATATAATCTTCTGGAGTGCCTGTTTTTTACTTGACCCATCGCATGTAGTCAGGGTGTGAAATTGTCCTCTTATTAAGTGCCATTCAGCACTTAGGTTTGAGGCTGGGGAGCATTTCAGATTTTCTGGTTAAGGGCTCTCATCTTGTATTAACATTTCCCTAGTAATCCTTTCCCTTATTTCTTTCTACAAGTAAGTTATTGCTCTCAGGAGGCTGTAAACAGGCAGATCACTATGAGTCTGATCTAGTAGTGAGACCCTGAGCACCCTGTAGACCCTTCCCTAAAATACAAAAAAAAAAAAGTTATTCAAACAGGTTGGATTGCATCATGCTTACTATACTAGGCACACTACCATTTCCCAGTGGAAAACTGAATGCAAAATAACAGCCGATCAAGGTGATGTAACCAGTCATTGTCACTAGTCCTCTCTTTTTTTTTTTTTTAAACATTTATTTATTTATTTTGTGTGTGTGTGTGTGTGTGTGTGTGGCCAGCTCAGCCCACCAGGGGGCGGGGCTGGCTGGCATGTGGTGCTGGGGGATCGAACCGCGGTCCCTGGGCTTTATCCAAGCTTGTTCCAAATAGGTGCTTTAGACCACTGAGCCATCTCTCCAGCCCTAATCTTCTCTTATTTAAAGGAGGAAAGCTATTTTTGGTAACCTTGTACTTGGTTTTTCTCTGTGGGCTTCAGTACCAAAAAAGAAGGAAAAAAAATAGTAGTTTTGGTTGTAACATAAACCTGGTGGTAGCACAAACCTGTAATCCCGCATTCAGCAGGCTGAGGCAGGAAGATGGTTGCAAGTTGGAGGTCATCCTAAACTATATAATGGGACCTTGTCTTGAAAAGAAAAAAGCAGTAGTAGTTTTTGATAGGTTAGTGCAGCTTAGGGTACCGATCCTTGTAGGTTTCACTTGGCCATTATTGATGGTTTATAGTGCACACTGTCACACAGTCCTGGTGCCGACCGTGTGGTGTGAAAGTGGTCACAGACAAGACATGGAAGCTCTCAGCAGGTAAGGAACAGCTCTGTCTGCATGTGGTGCCAGGTCTGTAAGGGTCTGGAGGCCCACAATGCCACAAGATGAGAGCTGTAAGCTCCTAACACGGGGGCCCAAGGACTTTAAGGTGACCAGTGCTGACATCCCCGGGGCCAGGTAGATTCTCTAATGTAATTTTTGGGCTTCCTAGCTCAGGATCAAAGCTTGCACATGCAAACAGTTACTCTTCTATTTATTGAGCTAACCCCCAGCCCTCATGCAGCTTCTTGAAGTAGAAGTCTGGTGTATGTATAGTGTTTCTTTTTATTTATTTTTTTTTAACTTTGTAAAAATATTATTTATTTATTTGATACAGGATCTCGCTATGCAGTTCAAACTCTTGGTGATCCTCTTGTCTCAGCCTCCCCAGTGCTAGGCAGGTGTGTACCACCACACCTGGTTTCAGGGCCAACACAGTGTGCCCAGGTTTCTGGCACAGCATGCAGTACTGGGGATCAAACCTGGGTCCTTGCCCTTGTGAGGCAGGCACTTAGACTGCCAAGCTATCTCCCCAGCCCTAGTGTTCCTTTTTAAAGAATGATATAATCTGGACAGGGTGGCACATGCCTGTAATCCTGCTATTTGGGAGACTGAAGTAGGAGAGTTAAAACTGGAATACCATCCTCGGTTACATAGCTGTACATAGCTAGTTCAAGGCCAGCCTTGGCCACATAATGAGACCCTGAAGATAGAGACAGACAAAAAGCATGGGTCAGACTGAGGCAGAAGGATCCTTGCTAGTTAGAGACCAGCCTGGGCTACAAAGTGAGCTCAAGGCCAGTCTGAACTGCATAGTGAGACTCTGTCTCAAAAACACACACACGAGTTTGTAGAGGAGTGTGTGTGTGTGTGTGTGTGTAAGATATTTTTTGTACCAGCCATATGAGGGAGATTGTTTTTGAGGAAACTGATTGCCAGAGATGGGAAGAAAGTTGCCAGGGATCGCACAGCCAATAGGAATAGGACTGTTTCTTTTCTTTTTTTTTGTTTTTCTGGAACCAGGGGTTGAACTCGGGCCCTTGCACTTGCCAAGGAAGCGCTTATTCCACTGAGTCATCTCCCTGGCCCCCAGTGGAGTAGCTCATCTATCCAGGCATCCTGGCTCCAGAGGGTTTTCTTTTTTTGGTTCTAGAAATCAAACTCAGGCAGGACCTTGAGTTTGCCAGGCAGGCAGTGTGCTGCTGAGCTGTATCCCTTGCCCAGCTCCAGGGTTTTTGCTCTTAATTGTAACCATGTATTGAATGAATGAGGGAAGAGGTATTGAAGAAAGGTTGTCAGCTCTACAGGCTAAACTCACCCAGTGCCCTGTCCCCACTCTCTGCCTGAAATAGCTTCAGGCAATGACACTGTTTGATTTTCTTTTTATGATATGGTCAATGTAAAGTCTGTTGGGAGAGAAATTTAGAAGCCAAACCAACCACATTTAGAAACTGTCCACTCAGGAGAGCTCCAGTGTGATGAGCAGAAATGGGTCTGAGAGTGAAAAGGATACGATGGGAAGTTCAGTTAAAGTTCAGTTTATACCTACAACAATAACTTGAGGTGACAACATCTGAGAAGCAGGTGGATATTAGGGAGTGTCACTTAAGATTGAGGTTAGAGCTGGAGATGAAAGTGTTGGAGTTAAACTGGGAGGAAAATATGTTAGAGATCAATTTCAGGATTGAGTCAGGAGGACTGGGGACTCTGCTACAAACTGTAGAGTGATCGCCAGTGAGTACTTTGGGGGCTATTTATAAACTGAAGGTTGGACTAGACAATTTCAGAGGTATGCGTTGGCTAATTGAGTATATCTTTATAAACCTGGTAACAGTAAGCATTATATTTAACCCCATAGTATTGTGTGTTGTGTGCTTCTGGATGTTTCATTGCCTCTTATCCTCTGAACTGCCCAGCTGAGGTAGCTTAATACAACAGAAATGCGTGTTTTTCTACATTCATTCCCTAACTATAGTATCTTGAGACGATGTTCAGAATTGTGTGGTGCTTATTAAAGTTAAAGATGTATTTCAATAGCCCTAATTCTAGCCAATAATAAATAACTTACGAAAAGCCATCAGGAAATGCATCAACAGTTACACAGTTGTTACCTCTGAGTAAACAACAGCTTTGAAGAAGGAATTGACTTGAGGGCTGGCCAGATAGCTCAGCAGACTAAAGCACCCATTTAGGCAGGCTCAGGGACCAGGGTTTGATCCGTGCGGTGCCATGCCAGCCCCACCTCCAGGGCACACTGAGAGGGCGATTGAGACTGGGCATGGTGGCAAAGGCCTGTAATCCCAGCGCTTGGGAGGCTGAAAACAGGAGAGTCACTCCAAGTCTGATCTGCATAGTGGGACTCTGTAGACCCTGTACTTAAAAAAAGGAAGAAGAAGAAATTGACTTGATTAGATGCACACATAATTCTAGACTGAAAGCTTTTCTTTTTCTCAGCTTGTGAGAATGTAGTTTTTGCTGGAACACCTGTTTTAAAGTGACTATTTTCTAGGTCTTTGGCTTCAAAATTACAAGTCTTGGCAAAATTTCTTTGCTGTCTTTAAATAGCCGAAGCACCACCCTTGGGGAGCATTCATTGGGGTCCAGCAGAGTGACTGAGTTGGTTTCCAGGGTAATAGAATGGATATGCTTAGGATCAAAGAACTCTTGTCCAACTGCTTTCCGTGAAGCTGAAACAATGCAGCAGTCTGGTGCCTTGAATCAGATTCAAAATTGATGGGTACATCTTGGTATGCTGCTGCTAGAGCTACATGTGACCATCTGACGCACGGGAAAGTGCCAAATAATTCTTCTGCCTTATTGAATAGAATATAAGGTACTCCCAGCCTGAAGTCTGCCCCACCCCCCACATGTTCTGTATTGGGCTCTAGCCTGCGGGGTTGGGGAGCCATCTTACAAAGTATTTCATTGTAGCAAATCTTTTGGCACAAGAGTCTGATTGTAAGGGGCTGGGGAGATAGCTCAGCAGCATAAGTACCTGCCTGGTAAGCACAAGGTGCTGAATTTGATATCCAGTACCAAAAAAAATCTGATTTCTGCCTCCTTTTGAAAGGTTTAGCCAGCTCACTATTAAGATCTATGGTCACATATCCAGGAGAATTGTGGTGGTGGTGATGGTGGGGATTTTGAGACAGGATCTCACTGTCTAACACAGGCTGGCCTTGAACTTGCTTATATAGCCCAGGCCTGCCCTGACCTCACTGGCCGCTCTGCCTCACCCTCCTGAGTGCTGGGATTACAGGCATGTACCACCACAGCCAGCTACCCAGGAGAAATGTAAACATATGCCCACATGGAGTTAGCAATCTTCTCCTTCTCTTTTTTTTTTCCAAATTTGATTTATTTGTTTATTTATTTATTTATTTTGTGTGTGTGTGTGTGTGTGTGGTCAGCTCAGCCCACCAGGGGGCGGGGCTGGCTGGCATGTGGTACTGGGGGATTGAACCACAGTCCCTGTGCTTTGCTTAGCTTAGCTTGTTCTAAGTAGGTGCTTTAGACCACTGAGCCATCTCACCAGCCCCTTCTCCTTCTCTTTAGTCCTCTCTTTTTTCTTTCCCTTAGGTACTGGGCCCCCATTCTATAGAGCCTACAGTTCAATCTACAGGGATCTCATTGTGTCCCAGCCACACTGGCTGGGCAGAAACCTGGACACTGCCTTGGGATTTCTTCATCAGGGATGTGTCTGTTCTCATCACGGCTATTATGCAGGATTTTCAGGTTGGATTAGGGCTGCCTAGGTGCCCAGCTGCTTGATTGGTAGACTAATTCAGTTGGAATTTCAGCCTGTTTCAAGAAACTTTGTGTTTGGCAGCTGTATATAAAGATCAGATCCTTTGGCTTTCCTCAGGAGTTTCTTTTTCATATCTTCTCCTTTTTCTTTCTTCCTTTTTTTTTTTTAGACAGGGTCTCATCAGGCTGGCCTTAAACTCACTTTGTAGCCCAGCCTGGCCTCCACTGATGGCTCCTGCCTCAGCCTCCCAGTTCCAGCCTCTGTGCTAGGATCCCAGGCGTGCACCATCACTCTTGGTTCCTCCAGGAGCTTCATACATACTGTTGTAGAAATACTTTTTGTTTTAGAAGTTGCTCACCGTGGTCTCTGATATTTTTCTACAAACAGCAGCAGGTTCAATAGGTAAGAATGGCATGTGCCTGACAAGACAAAAGAGGGAGGATACTTTAAAATTGTGCTTCCAGGGCTGGGGGGAGGCCGTAGCCCAGTGTTAGAGTGGTTGACTGATATGCACAAGACCCTGGCTTTGCCCCCAACACTGCAAAAAAAAAATCATTTTAAAAATGTCATTTCCTGGCTCAAATTTAATGCGGGATAACCTAAAGGTGAATCATCTCTGGTGGCTCTCTGTTTATCATACTTCTCTAATAGATCCTTTTGTGATAGAGTTCTTTTTTTTTTTTTTGGTGGAACCAGGGATTGAGC